TCTGTGAGTTCAAGGCCAGCCTGGTCTACATAGTGAGTTCCAGGGCAGCTGGGGCTACCGGGAGACCCCTGTTTAAAAAAAAAAAAAAAAAAAAGCTCTTCTTCGGGCTGGAGAGATGGCTGGAGAGTAGCACTGGCTATTCTTGCAGAGAACCTGGGTTTGGTTCCCAGCACCCACATGGCTGCTCACAACTGCCTGTAACTCCAGTTCCAGGGAATCTGATACCATCTTATGGTCTCTGAGGGCACCAGGCACACACATGGTATACATACATATATGCTGGGAAAACATTCATGCACATAAAATAAAGACAAATGAATTCTCAATCAAAGAGAATCTGCTTCTTACATGAAGTAGAAGGAAGGCTACATGGGAAGAGGACAGCATCACCAGGAGCGAGAATGGGACAGAGAGGGAGTGGGGCAAGAGAGGGTAATGGGAATATGATCAAAGTGCATTTTACATATGTCTGAAAATGTCACAATGAAACTTGTTATGCATAGTTGATATATTCTAGTAAAAGTGCTTTAAAAAGAGAGATGGCTCAGCAGTTAAGAACACTGGTTGTTCTTGCAGAAGACCAAGATTTGAATCCCAGCACCCACATGGCAGCTAACAACTGTCTGTAACTCCAGTTCCAGGGGATCCGACAGCCTCTTCTGACCTCCGCGGGCATTGCACAACATGGGTGCACTTACCTACATGCAGGCAATACACACATACACATAAAATAAAAATAATAATTTTTTTTAAATAAAGAAAATTAAAATTCTAGACCAAAGACATTAGCTTACTTTGCTAAATGGCCCATGGAGAAGGCCAATTCTAACCTAGAGCTTCATTCCTGTTATCTGTAAATTGAGGCTGCATTAGTTACTTTTTGTTGCTGTGACAGAAGACCATGACCAAGGCAACTTATAGAAGGAAGAGTGCATTTGGCTTATGGTTCCAGAGGGATAAGAGTCCATCATGGCAGGGAAGGAAGGCATGATGGCAGAGGTTGCCAGAGTAGAGAGCTTACATTTTCAAGCAGGCACAGGAAGCAGACAGTATCAGACAGAAAATGGGACATGGCTATCTTCTCAAAGCCTACCCCCAGTGATGTGCTTCCTCCAACAAGGCCATACCTCCTAAACCTCCACAAAGAGTACCACCAACTGGGAACAAGGTGTTCAAATACTTGAACCTAGAGGGGTGGTGCACAGGACTGTCCTCCACTGGCAGATTATGGACAGATGCCTTCTTCCCAAGCATGGTTGCACCTTCTTGCCTAGAATCATCACAGTCAAGTTTACAGACTGTTCTTTTCCACAAGAAAGGAGGAGCAGGGAGAATCAGCTATGCCTCCCTGTCAAGAGCCGCTAATCATTGAGCTGTGTCAGGCTTGTTTACTGAGCGTGGGTTATGCACACCAGTATCTAATCTGCCTTATTAGGAGGAATATGTTTATATGGAGAGCCTCACAACACCTGCAATAGTGGAAGCCTTTGATCTGACCACTCCTTGACCCTCAGATACAGGTGGGGAAAAACAGCAGTTGTAACTAATTGAGTTCTTCTGTATAAAAAGAGAGTACTGAAATAAATTGAGGCTGGCAGTATTCATTGTGAGCCCTCCCAAGCATCTTTTCTGTCTCCTTTCCTTTCTTTCAATCCTCAGTCCCCCTTTCAGGTACTGTCCGTTTTGGCTGGCTGGCACCGGCACCTCCCAACCACCCAGTCAGCCCTAGTTGCACAAGATGGCGGGGCTAAAGGTATATACATGCTAAGGAAGCCATGGGAGGCTCTCTCACTCTCCATTTTGTGTGACTGTGTGGAAGTCATGATCCATGCCTGGATGGAGACTGTCCAGTGTGGCCTTAGGAGGGGAGCATCCATACTTCTGAAAGTGATCTTTCATTCATCGCTATTAAGTAAAACTAATAAATCCACTGGTTTTTCCAGGCTGTAGTTTGCTGAAATTATAGCTCAGTTTGTCATAGGGACCAAGGCAGGAGGGGTCTGGGAGTCATTTGTGCCTCCCAGAAGGAACTGTAGCTACAAGGGGACGTCTCACTCAAACTACCACAGAGGTTAGTACCATTCCTCCTGCCAACATGAAGGATCACATAAAAATGACATGTTTCTAAACTACTTAAAGAATCTGCTTATTAAATTCCATCAGAAAAACATATTGGGATTTAAAATGAGCATACACTTAACCTAGAAACCACTGTAGGGAAATCTGACATCTCTACAATAAAAAGTCGTGCCAGGCATGGTGGCGCACACCTTTAGGCAGATCTCTGTGAGTTCATGGCCAGCCTGGTCTATATAGTGAGTTCCAGGACAGCTGGGGCTACAGGGAGAGCCTGTCTCAAAAAGACCAAAAAAAAAAAAAAAAAAAAAAAAATTAGAAGTGTAAGCAGGGCATGGGGGTGCAAGCCTTTAATCCCAGCATTCGGGAGCCAGAGGCAGGCGGATCTCTGTGAGTTCCAGGCCAGCCTGGTCTACATAGTGAGTTCCAGGACAGCTGGGGCTACAGGGAGACCCCGTCTCAAAAAAGACCAAAAAAAAAAAGTGGGGGGGATTAGGAGAGCATCACCTTTATTTACTCAAAATCTTTATTATTATTGTGCATGTGTGTATGAATGTGGATGTGTGAGTATAGGTGTGCATATGGAGGTTGGAGGACAACTTTTGGAACTCAGTTCTGTCCTTCTACCCTGGATTCCAGGGATCAAACTCAGGTCATCAGGCTTGCAGGGCAAGTACCTTGTCCCACTATGCCATCTTACCAACTCCCATGGTGTTCTTTAGATTTATGCTTGGGTATTTGATGACACTATAGTAACACTTAACTTTTTCAATTTTTGTTTGTTTTTGGTATATGTGAATACTACTAATTTTGGGTTACTGATCTCGTATTCAGCAACTTAGCTAAATTCACGTGTGTGTGTCTGTGTGTGTGTGTGTGTGTGTGTGTGTG